GGAAGGAAATGAATAGTATTTTGCCCCACTCCCTCCCCCAGCTCCTTTTGGCACTCGCTCGCTGTTTGGTTCTCTTCGCGTGCGTTTGGAAATGAAGATGGAGATTAGCCACAGGTTCTAATGATACTTTGACTCTATCATTCCCTAGGACTGGAATAAACTAAACCTTTTTTACCTCACGTCACCTTTCCTTGACCCAGTCCCTCTCCTGATACCAGGTACTCTTAGTGGTGACTATGTCGGCCATGATTGGTTTGTATCGACAGTTTTTCTCATGATGTATGGAGACCCTGATCTGGCCTGGGAATTCCTCTTCAAGTGCTCCAGTCTTGTCAGTTCTGGTTATCTGTGGGTTCGTAGACTACACGCTTCGGTAAGGAAGCATTTTAGAACTGCCATGTAACTCCCTAGCATGGGTGAGCGAGTATACAGTGAACTCCTCGACGGAGACCTTAAAGCGGGTTGTAGAGTAGCTCGTATTGGAGTCATAAACGAAGCCTTCACTTTACAGGCTGCTGATTAATGCAAGAAGTCAGATCTGTCCCAAACGCGTGCGTTACCAAGGGAGGTGAAAAACTAATGCAATCAGTTATCACAAGCTCTTCCACAGATATTGTAGTAAAATAAGCTCTAGCCACAGTCGGTGCCCAAATGGCAACTTGTAAATGGTGGCAAGTGCGAAAAAAGTCGTGTGTATAACCACAATTGGTGTGGATTTGCATCTGAAATCATCTTTGTCTTGGTTAAGCTTGCCTCACAAATAACGGGTTGTTGTCTTAGAGCTCAAAGTTCTTCTGAGCTTATTTTCTGATCCATATTCAAATAAGTGTGGTCTTCGGGCTGGTAAATGCTGTTATCTCCGTTGTCATGGCCCTAGCTCTAGAATGTAAATGGCACATTCCCCTGACTGTCCCCAAAGCTCATCAAGTGAGGCTTCGCTTTTCTAATCAGTGACGGCTACATGCATAACGCAATGTGTTCTTGTGAGACCTCTTGTTATCTGGCTACTCTAAAGAGGACTTCTGTAATTTCCTGATAAGTGTACAATCTGATCAGCCATGCATGACTTCAATTCTGTGCATCACCAGGCTAAAGCAGAACCAGAGTGAAATGAATTTCTTTATTGTTTTTCTCAGGTTCATTTACCGGTGTCCCTTACAGTCAGCGGTATTCCTCCACTCTATTCGTGCACGTGCCATAATGTGGAGCTGATACTGATGGTTTGTACCATAGTTATTGTTGGATTATTCTAAGTCCTAGCGTAAAATGAACCCAGTCACCTTCTGTACCCAGTTTGTACCACTTATCTGGATGAAGTTTATTGTTCAATGTGCCGACAAAATCTATCCTGTGACAGAGATACGAGACAAATCTGTCCTGGAGGTTGGTTATATGACCGTTTTTGATACACTGGACCCCATACGACGGGCGATTCATTCCCTATTTCTTTTCCATAACGTAACAAAGGCTGTTGTTCCTCCCCCCCCCCCCCCCCCCCCCCCCCCCCCCCCCCCCCCNCCCCCCCCCCCCCCCTGGATTGAATGTTACGACAACTTAGGTTACCCTACTCGCCTCCCACTCCCTTTCCGCATTTTTGCGAAGTTGTCCTGAAAAAAAATATTGGTGCATGAATTTATTCTCAATGGAGAGAGTCTATTCGAGAAAACTTTTTTTTTTTTCTCGAAACATGGCGCTTGATCTCGTCCTTACAAAAGATAACTGTTAAACAGAGCCCAAAGAACACATTTTCTTGTCGTTAATTGAACGTTTATTATTATTATTATTATTATTATTATTATTATTTTTATTTTTTTCATTTTTTTTTTTTCGTTTAGGCTGAAGTGCCTCTAGTGTATTCTGCCTTTAGGATGTCTGGCTACACTCCGTCGCAGGTCAGTATAACCTTGTAAACAGCTCACATCAGAGACGACTGAGTATGCAAGCGTGCAACTGCAGATCACATTTTTGGAGAGCAGCTAATGACTGAAATTGTTTTCGAAGAATCTTTGAAAAAATGTAATGCACATGTGAAGACACATGTAAAAGAAGAAACATTGCTGAAGTGGCATATAGCGAGTAAACGCCAGTGGGCTATTTGTGATTTGCTAAATTCGCGCACGCATCGAAATCAGAGGAGCGCCATGAATTTGGAGCGAGTCGAAAGTGACGAAGGCTTTTCTATCGGCACTGAGAGGGGAGGAATGTAACACATGTCAACAATCGAACGACCTATTGAGCTGTTCATGTCGATCGTGATTTTATTTATTGTTTGTTTATTTATTTATTTATTTATTTTATTTATTTATTTATTTATTTATTTATTTATTTGCATGCCATCTTCACAGATTTTTTTCTCTTGATTTGCTCCGTTAGATCTGCCAGCACTGGTTACGACAGTGTTTCTGGAACTATCTGGACTGGGAAGAGATCTGTTTGTACATTTGTACCTGTCTTACAATGGGTATTGACTATCAGGTATGTTTATCAGGTGTGGTGCAATGTTGGTGAGTTTCATATCTTTATCGTAGTAGTTTCAGAGCCGTGAGAGTAGTTTGTTCATGCTACAGACTATATAATACGTGCGTCGTTTCCTTTAAAGGAAAACGCCAGTTTTTAACACGGAGAATCGTTCCACTGTTATTTTTTCGTGCATGCACCATTTGTATTTATAAAGAAGTCAAAATCTTCTATGATACTGTATTACACCAAAACGGCGTGAGGTTTTGAGAGCACTTGAAAATTGTAGAAGGAATTGGAGCATGAATCATTCTTCCCACATTTACCCTTGTTCTCTCACATGCAATGCGCAATACTTGATAATGACTTTAGCTACTTCTCTATCACTTTACTATACTGGCCTTCATGGATCTACACAGTATGGGTCAGTACCCTTCGTACTCTGCTACAGACTAGCGAGATCCTATCCATGGCAACAAGTATTACGGCAAATTAGTGAATGACTAAGGGTACTGGAATGAGCCTCAATTGCCTGGACCTACCGGCACACCCATGAGTTAGCACTTCAGTACCTAATCTTATGTGGCAGTATGATTTTGTCGTACCGTTCCAATCTGTTTGCAGGTGTACTTCTGTATAGCAGTTCTAAGACATTTACAACAGGACATTTTAAGAAAGACGCAACAACAGCAGCTGTTGATCTTCCTAAAGGTGAGTTCTATCTGTTTTGTTTTTCAGCGACTTTCTTCAAAGGTGGCATTTGGTGCAGTTGTCTGGAAGCAGCTGCCTCTAAGGGATTGGGTACGCCGTACCTCACAGAAAGTGTGACTGACAATCATGCGTGCAGCTAATATACTCGTCATCCACCTCCAAATTTAACACATCTACTACTAGCGCATGTGGTGCGGTGGGCCAACGGCGAGTGGATTGAACTCCGGGAGAGCAGTCTGGGTTCGAACACTGGCCGGGATCATTGCGTTAAAGACAGATGTTTAAATGAGTACCGGCAAATTTAATGGTGGGGGTAGCCTTGCGCTGGACTAGCTCACCAGAATCCCATCCAGGGGGAGTAGAAATACTCCTAGTCACTTAATGCTACAGAAACCGACGATAAGCGTTGGTCTGATGGGCCACTTAGCTTGAACGCAGATTTCACCTATCACTCCTGTTGAAACCCTGAAATTTTCCTGGAGTCTTTGCGATGACTTTAATTGCAAGTGCAGCCGCAAGGAACAATTCTTCACTTGACAAAAGTGTCACTATTTCTTTTCGACACATTTTAACAGCCTGATCTGGTCTTTTTACAGAGAGATTTTAACTGCAAACTTTTGTACCAGAACTAATTGTTAATCTTAACCAAACATTCGTTTTTTTGGTCTTTCCTGTAGGAAAATCCAATCCCCAACTTCAAAGTTGCTGAACAGCTGGATTTCATGCAGGAATTAGAAGTTCGATATCGTCAGACAATCCTGTCTGACCTGCAGAACATCACCAAACCTTAACTTCTGTAATAGAACGAAGGACGCGATTTTCTGATTCTCGCGCGTATCCACGCACACATTTACGCGCACATCCACGCACAAACATCGACAGGCGCACCCATCACATACAACTCGCGAGAGGGTAACTCTGCGCATTGCCTAGGGGCATGTTTATGTGTGGAAAATATGGCCTCTTCCAGCGTGACCTGCAATGGAGGGTGACCCTTCGAACAGGAACTACTTTTCTCCATAAAAAAGGACCTGAGGCCCCTAACAATGACGTGAATATTTATAACGTGTTTAAACAAAATATAACTAAAAAGTGAAGAAATTGGGGGAAATTTACGAAAAAGAACTCAGAAATAACCACAATCCAGCTATCGCCAGTGATTATAGAAGGAAACTAGCTTTGACGTTGGTGTTGGTGTTGTTTCAATCTGGGGTGGGTCGACATCCCGATCTAAAAAAACTCTAAACAGCAGTATAATGGTAATGGGTAGGAGATGTACTGTCCAAGGTAGACGATTTTATAACCCTGCAAGGGTATTTATTGTGTTCATAATGCACATTTGTATATAAATATCAATCTTACTGTACATATATCTGTTGATAGCGAGTCTAAGGTTCGATTACGTACTGTTTATAAATGTTTCCATTTAAAATTGTAGTATAAAAATGCCTCCAGGCTTTTAGCCATAGAGCAATTATACAAATTTGAAAACGAAATAAATCGAGTCATATTGCTGCGTAGTGAATATAAAGTTAATAAATGCTGTAACTGCAATTATAACACCGGTTGTTTATCGTGTGGCCTAATACTTGGCGCGCTGGGCTCCGAATCCGCGAGCAGTCGAGTTCAAGCCCTGGCCGAGGTCATTGCCATGTGTTCTTGAACAAGACACTTTACTCTCACAGTACCGTTCTCTCTTCACCCCTGTTCGAGGTGTATAAATATCTAATGCTGGAGTTAACCCTGTGGTGCCTGGCATCTCGAGGATATGCACCTGTCAGCTCGCGAGGCTCTAATTCATCATACAGGTGTAATTGACACCGGTCCTAGCGTCTTTATCGCCATTTATCTGTTCTGATTGAATGCGGAATCACCTAAATTTTCATGATACGTCTCACCGCGCCGCGTCGACAAGAGTAGGAATGCCGCGTCCAGCTCTTACGACCTAAACCTTCGTTTCCTTTTGTCACTACTACATGAATTAAATTTTCATCGTTTCCGACTCCAGCCCGTTCACCCTGCTCTCGATCATAGTTATCTCGAGCTTACTGCTACTTTTCAGCCCTTGCCCCCCTCCCCCCACCCCCCTCCCCACAAAAAAGATATATCGTTTGTTTAGCCATACGATAAAGGTTATGGCACTCGTTGTACAGGTTAGGGTTCAACCAATCAGAGAAACGAGCGAATTCGGACTTTGACTGTCCTTGTTTACTTCGTGAAACACTTGAAACACTAAGGAAAGCCCTTAGACTTTGATCTGCCCGTGATCAACACGTGCTTTGGCCCAAAAGATATAAACACGCTACCAAAAATATCAATTCTCTCAAGAAATGTATGATAACATGGCATGTTTTCTAAACAACCCTAAATGACATTTCTAAAGAGTTGTGTGTGTACAGATGCCAGGGTTTTCGTGTCTGGAGAGTATATGCAGCCCCTCCTTGATGACTAAGGTTGAAAACGTTGGTAGCTTGATGCATTCTTGATAATTATAAACGGTTACAAAACAACACAATTTGCCTGCATTAACAAAGTGATAAAAGAAGAGTCGATTTGAGCTTTCCAGGTTATTGTTCTTTGTTTGAAGTTTGATGTTTGGTTCGACTTTATTTATTCACTGACAGTATTGAGATCTTTAAAGGGCAGAGTCTACACAAATGGTAACATCAAAAAATGGCAAAAACAAAAACAAAAAAAAACAGGTGTATGAATGTTCGCTGGTTGGGTTTATAAGTATCGCAGTTTACCTCAAAGACTGAGCAATATCTTTATTTGGGCTAAAATGAAAATAAGTTGTTCTTCATTCCGCAGTAACTTGAGTTAGCTGAGTGACAAGGGCTGATGAAGGCTTGGTTGCGCTTTGCTGTAAGGAATTCCAACAACTTCAGGAACTTTTTTCGTCTCTGGCTATGCTCCATAAGGTCCATAAGTTAGTTATTCTGATCACGTACTGGCTTCGGTAATTTTCATTAACCCTCTTGAACTGAGCACCTTTTGGTACGCAGATCATTAATCCCTGTTAATCATAGCACACCCCGTTGTGGGGTATAAAGTCATTAAACTGCGCTAGTTTGGCCTTCATTTTGCTTTCGAAACGCTCCATTTCTGAGGTCAAATTCTAAATGTGACTGTGATTTTCGGATTTACCCACGTTTTAACGCCAGTCCATTGCACCATTCTCGCTAAAGCTATTTGATATGATATGTAGTGTTCTTAAAAATGAAACACTGATATTTGATTACACATCCTCGAGTTCTGAGCGCATATTTAATCTAGCTTTCGATTGTTGAATTACAGGATGTAGAATTACCGTGCAAGTGTGCGGTTTGGTTGCGTAAAATAATTTTTCTTTATTTATTTACATTCGTCCCGTGTTTAGTCTGTCAGTAACAATTAAGTGATTACCTGGCTTTCTTTGTATGTCCTTTATTGAACATTCTCCACCATTCGTTTTAATTTGTCTGCTGTTCTTGTTTTATCTAAGACGCAGTCTAACTAGCAGTCTGAAAGGTTATTTTAGGAGATTAATAATCTGATAAATCATTGTAATTTCTGGCATTATATTTGTCGGTTTCGAATCAAAGCAAAAGCACAATTTTTAATTATGGCCCCATTAAGTTTATTTTTAAGTTCTTCCTCCAGTAAGACTCGAGTGTGCTTTCCCCAATTTTTACGCCAAACTGTGTCAGAAATGATTTCTAAATGTTTACGCTAGACATTACACAACACCGATATCAGGAAGCCTTTAATCCGAAGTTGCGGTTAATAAATAGGGCACTTGAAGTGAATCAGGCGTTACAAACATTCAGTTGTTACGGACGATCGAATATCAACTCGTGCCCATGTTCGATATACAAAATTCTAATTACATTTCTCTTCTCTTCTCGATAGAACAGCCTGTTTTACGGGCTTATATGCTATGTTGTGAGCTACTGACTTGAGTTCTTTATACGTATACGCCTAAAAATATTTCAGACTCAATGTTTCAGTATTTGAGATCCGTCAAGAGCGTTTCCGCCTTAAACTGGCTCCCAATGCCCGGACCCTCCTCTCACATACTCAACTTTTAGCAACTTGGTTTCGTGATTGGGAACGTATCAGCTGTTCTAAATGTTGTGTTTTGAATAAAATAGCCCACAGCGCTGAGGCTTTATTTGTTGTTTGTTTGTTTTCCTTCATAGTATGAAGTCTCTTATGGGAATTACCAAACAAAAGAATCTCAGACCCAAACTTCTATATTTGTTTTGCTTTGTTTTGTTTTGTTTTTTTCCTTCATAGTATGAAGTCTCTTATGGGAATCACCGAACGAATCTCAGAAAAGAATCTCAGAAAATTTGCAAGTTTGGAGCAAGTCTAACATAGAGGAATGCGTGACCTATCTAGGGTCACGCATTGGTGAGACTAAAGCAGAAATTGTTTTAGGATTTTTAAAGTTCGTGACTTCCTTTTTTTATCACTTCTGTTTGATTATACTGTTGTAAAAAATAATTATTGTATTCCTTTAATGAAACCCAGGAGGGTAGCCCGTATCAGGGGAACCGAGGCACTTGCCTGGGTTTCTTTATTTCAGCTCTATACATTGAATAATCAAATGAATATAAAAAAAGGTGTTTGTTTCCTGATTTTGCTTTGGTAANTGTTTTGAATAAAATAGCCCACAGCGCTGAGGTTTTATTTTTTGTTTGTTTGTTTTCCTTCATAGTATCAATTCTCTTATGGGAATTACCAAACAAAAGAATCTCAGACCCAAACTTCTACATTTGTTTTGCTTTGTTTTGTTTTGTTTTTTTCCTTCATAGTATGAAGTCTCTTATGGGAATTACCAAACAAAAGAATCTCAGACCCAAACTTCTATATTTGTTTTGCTTTGTTTTGTTTTGTTTTTTTCCTTCATAGTATGAATTCTCTTATGGGAATCACCGAACGAATCTCAGAAAAGAATCTCAGAAAATTTGCAAGTTTGGAGTAAGTCTAACACAGAGGAATGCGTGACCTATCTAGGGTCACGCATTGGTGAGACTAAAGAAGAAATTGTTTTAGGATTTTTAAAGCTCGTGACTTCCTTTTTTTATCACTTCTGTTTGATTATACTGTTGTGAAAAAATAATTATTGTATTCCTTTAATGAAACCCAGGAGGGTAGCCCGTATCAGGGGAACCGAGGCACTTGCCTGGGTTTCTTTATTTCAGCTCTATACATTGAATAATCAAATGAATATAAAAAAAGGTGTTTGTTTCCTGATTTTGCTTTGGTAATAATTTTTGTCTGACTACAGCCCTGAAACCGAAATACACCCAAGGAGAATAATTTGTTGTTCGACTGTTAGACAACGGGGTGGAAAGCAAAAGAGGAAATTTGCCCGGTATTTGATGTGACATGAAAATTTATGCTTGCTCTCGGTCATGTGATACGCTCTCAGAAGTAGAAATGTCTGCCCTTTTATCCCTGGAACCCTTTTCCTTATTCTTTTTGTTGTTCCTGAAGATGTGCAATCGAGCAACAAATGCAAAACAGTCGCTTTTTAGGAAGTTTCTGTCTTTGAAGTACAATGGGTCAGACATTAAATTATTGAGGGACCAATCAGATCGAGTCAATTTACTCTTTAATGCGTGCGTGATCATTCGCACGTAAACACATGCGTGCCCTGCGTTCAGCGCTCGTTTTATTTCCACCGCCGGCGCGATGCGGAGTTGAACAAAATCATCTAGCGACGGGAGCGGTGGAAATGAGCAACGGAATTGATTGTGATAGCAGCGAAAGTCGCTGTGTCAACATGGTCGATTGGCCCCATCTGAGAAGAGTGAATTCGGTGTTCCCTCCGTTTTCAGAAGACGATGAATTGGATGGCAATGATGGTGAAAACGGCTGCCATTCTATTCTTCGCAAGCATCACTCGCTTCCTGCACCGAGGAAAAAATCCGTGCAGTTTGCGGATGGCTGCGGGAAGCCGCTTGTTTCTGTTTACAGTGATGATGAATATAACATACACGTGGCATTACAAATGACCAAAAGGGAGCTCCAGCGAGCGAAGAAGACATTACATGTATGTTTCGCACAACCGGTGGCTTCGGAAGACTTCAGAGACAAACTAGAGATTCAGACTGTGTGTCTGGAAAACGCTGTGGCTTCGCAAAACTCTATCTGGGGAACGATAAAGGTTAAAAACATTTGCTTTCATAAAAGCGTCTGTGTGAGGTACACATTAGATGCCTGGATTTCATCCACTGATTTGCAAGCGGTTTATGTGCCTGAATCAAACGATGGTGCAACGGACAGATTTTCGTTTGCGCTAACACTTCCAGAATATTTTCTCGCTTCCGGAGGAGTACTGGAGTTTGCAGTTCGCTTTCGGGGTGAAGGTATGGAGTTTTGGGACAATAACAGCAGTCAGAACTATCGCATCGAGTGTCGAGAGGCTCCTGCTTCGAACGGTGGTTTCAATCGAATGGCAAACCTTTTTAACTGTACACGGTAAACAGGTCGAAGCGAACATCGGTATTCTGTTCCAGGACAAAAGTGGAAAGGACAATGGCACATCCATTGTGGGCCTGAAAGTAACACATGCATGGCCTTTTGTAGTAGGTTTTATTTCTCCACTTCGCCATCAACAGGAAAAAGATATAGAAAAAACCAAAGCCATAACACTAGAAAGAACAGTGTAAATTTTTGGGGTCCAATCTTGAAACTGAAAGATATTATGATAATGTGTTCTTATGCAAACCCATCAAGCGAGATAAACATGTCACAAGTCTCATATTGCGTGAGTTAGAGCTCGTCCCTGTGCTCTGTGTTGTGGGTTTATTGTAAGATCATAATATCTGTTTTAAAACATGACATCTGCAAGTGATCGCATATTTTTTAACCTTTTAAGCTTTTAAATTTCATCTATCAAATGGCTGTGGGATCAGCATTCCAAGGAACATTACCACTTGTTCGACTTGCCATGTTTTATAACTGGCTATAAGAAACATACAAATAATAAGGATTAAGAGTTCTAAAAAGGTTAATAGCAACAT